ATTTAATATTATAAAAATCCAGAAGTGGGCAACACACAGTCCTCTCTCAATCTCGCTCTTTTAAGACTTCAAAATTGTTAATTTTATGTTTGGCAGAAGGTAGGCACACAATAAGTGCTTTCTTCGTTTTTTGTTTTTTTTTTTTCAATTTTCACAGAATACATAACAACCAAGCCACAGACATCTTCCAAAGAACTCTATCCTAGATCACATGATGGTACATCTCGGCATGAAAACCTTCTTTTGGTATTGTGGAAACTGGATAGAACATTTAAGTACTCTTTCTACTAACTATATACTATCAGAGATGATCAAGGTAAAGAAGGTAACTGATTTAGGAAATAATATTGGAATCATTATTCCCTGACCTTGAGCATAGAGAATATGATCCAGCTGAAGCTGGGCTCACAAGGACTCACAAGAACTCACAAGGACACATGAACTGGGCCCTGAAGTATAAAGACAACAGCTAGGATAATCTTGGAAAATATCTTTCAGAGATCCTTTCACATAAACCAGTCAAGCGGAACACAAAAGACCTTCCACTCTTCTTCTGTTAACATTTAGTGAATAGAAAATTGTTGGACTCATAATGAAGACCCTCCTGACTGTCATTACTGAAACCTGACCCAATGATAGTTAAGAAAGACAATTCAAAATGTAGGATCACAGTTTCTAGCCAATCTGTGAAAAGGTGAAGCTTTCGATGATTTTGCCCATTTGTAATGTTAATACATACTGATGACTCGTAACATTCCTTGGACTCAGGCAGACATGGCTGTGGCAGCATTCTTGTCCATTTTCCCATTCTTGCTTATTCTGTAGTACTCCTTGGATTCAGGCAGACATGGCTCTGGCAGCATGCTTGTCCGTTTTCCCACTTTCACCTCTTTGAATACATGCCAAATAAAACTTTCTTTTTGCTTTACTGAACTTTATGATGTCTTTTCCCTACAACATGACCAAAAGAGTAAAAAAAAAAGGTACAGAAACTGTCATATACACAAATGCAATGTTCTTGTGTAAACAGTGGTAGAATAAAGCACTACAAGTAACATCAGTTTTCTGGTGGTATGAAATATTTTTATAAGACTCTACAAAATACTTACAGCTGTATTAAAACTACTTTGAGAACAACATTTCAGTATATTTTGTATATTTCAAGTTCATAATGTATATTATTAGTACAATCCAATTACTTTATCAAACAGCATATGAGAAATGCATTTACAAAGCAAAAAGAGGAAAGACTGTACCTATGGGAATCTTTCAAAGTACTAGATATTCAACAGTCAAAATGGCCAAAAAATCAAGTTCTGTTCATACAGAGACATGTTTGCCAAACATTGAGATGAGCAATAAGAGTACTAATAACTAAACGTTGCACAGTGATTTATATTCTACAAACCACTTTCATTTGCTCCTCACAAAATACTGAGTTCTGAAATATTATTATTCTCTTTTTTACAAATGATGTGTCTGAGACTCAGAAAAACCATTACTGGCTCAAGGTTGCTCAGCTAGTTAGTGGGAGGAAGACTGAAAGGTATGAAGATGAGCAAGATTCAGCACTTGAGAGACTAGAAAATCTTCCTCCCATGAAAACAGCAGAGACCAGTGAAGGTGGGTAGGGTAATGCATCATGGCTGATTCAATAATGTAAAAATCGTAACACTCTATGCACCGTCCAGAAGTCACTGTAGTATCATCTCACAAGAGGAACCATGCCCAATATGGAGGCCTTAAGACAAAAACCATTATCCTTAGACTTTCTCCAAGGTTGGATTCTATTAAACAATCTGAATTACCTCAGGCCTTTTCATAGTTCAGACAACATGTGATGGAAGTTACAAGTGGATAGTTTCCTAAAAAAAGAACACTGAGCCAAGTTTGATATAGAAAAACAACTAAAAGAAACAAGAAACTTAGACCTGAGAAACAACCACTATGTCCTGGATCAATGCTACTCATAAGACAGAAGCAGCAAAGACACTATTTAATTTCAAGTTGAAATACTATTGCTCATCAGTCCACAGTGCTGGAAAAATAAGTATGGCTGACTAACTCAAAAGTAGCTTGGCCACTCAGGAAGCCCTTCCCAGCTTGGGAGCTGCTTCACTTGTTTGGCATGATAGACAGTGAAGGTGACACATGACAGGGACATTGATACAATCAGACAGCAGTGGCATTTTCTACTACAAAGTCAACAGTGGTATGTTGTCCCCAGGTGCAGGCTGAGCACTCTGCTGGGAATGCAGAGTGATCCTAGGGTAACTGTGTGACTGTGTGTCATCAAGCCTGGGTTCAGCAGCCAGGACTCCTTGGCCTGGAAACAATGTACTGTATTCCCAGGAAGGGCTTCCTCTTGATTAGGAAGCCGCTTCCAAATGGTCCCCGCCCTAAAGAGGGTGTTCAGCCAGAAGCAGGAGATGGAGGAACATAAACCAAGCTCCTGGAGACATAGAAAAGGACTTTCCTTTCTTTCCTGACTTTGCTTCTGGTAGTCCCAGCAGTCTGAACCAGGGCTTCCAACCGGTTTGGAATGGTTCAGTAACTGCCGATGTAAACGAGAGCAACATAGGAGTGGCATAGCAACCGAATCTGTTGCCCATCAGATCTCGACCTGAGTAGGAAACAAATAGCAGCGTCCCATTCAAAGACGGTGGACAACAGCAGTGCTTTGAATGTGTGTTGCTCCCTACAGTCCTGCCAATAATCCAATCTCCTGCATGGATCCTGAAAATTTCAGGAGACTAATGTGGGACAGTGGATTATTGACAGGACTATGTGACACACATTCAAAGCGCTGCAGTCGGCCGCTGTCTTTGAGCGGGGCACCCGTTTGTTTCCTGTTGTTAGATGCCATTGAGTTGCTTCTAACTCATAGTGACCCCATGTACAACAGAACGAAACGCCGGCCAGTCCGGCGCCATCCTCACATTTGTTTTTATGCTTATGCTTGAGCCCACTGTTGCAGCCACTGTGTCAATCCATCTCATTGAGGGTCTTCCTCTTTTTCCCTGACCCCCCACTTGAACAATCACGATGTCTTTCTCCAGGGACTGGTCCCTCCTGATAACATGTCCAAAGTATGTGAGACAGAGTCTTGCCATCCTTGCTTCTAAGGAGGATTCTGTCTGTACTTCTTCCAAGACACATCTGTTCATTCTTCTGGCAGTTCATGGTATATTCAGTATTCTTTGCCAACACCATTTGTTTCCTATTTGGGCCAAAATCCAATGGGCAACAGATTAGGTTGGTTTGTAACACGTAAACTGCTCTCGTTTACCTTGGCAATTACTGAACCTTTCCTGAACCACTGTGAACTGGTTCAAAGCCCTGGTCTGAACAAACCTCTGTCGGAAAGACCATTACTGTGTATTTGTGCCAGCCCTCACTGAAGCTGACCTAGCTCCGCCCTATCCTAATCCTCTCTGCAACCTTGCTGTCACGGGGATAATCTCTGAGACAGGATTTCACAATCTTATCTGGGGACGTGATGGGAGACATTAAGATCGGCCTGGCTTCCCTGTCTAGGGGGCGATAACGTTTGTGGGTTGTCCGGGCTGCTGCAGGCCTGCTGGGATTACTTCCTGAGATGGTCCCCAAAGACACAGACTGGTCTTGCCTCAGGACATTTGCCTGCACTTTCCCCCAGAGCTCACACTGAGGGCAAACACTGCCATAGGCGCCTAGCTAGTCCCAGGATTGGTGGTGCGGCTACTGTAACAGTGGGGTCGCTAGGGTTGGTGTCACTGCCCCGTGGACCTCCTCTCGTACCAAACTATACAGAATCTTTGTAACATGTTTCATACTAATGTTACTAGTAAATTGTAATTCCTATCACTCCTTTTCCTTTAATTACTACTTTGTTCTCAAAAAGTTATTGATATGTTTACAAATACTAATTATCACAATTAAAAAGCAAAGGAAAAAACAAACAAACCAAACCCATTGCCATCGAATTGATTCTGACTCATAGTGACCCTACAGGACAGAGTAGAACTGCCCCCCAGGGTTTCTAAGGAGCAGCTGGTGGATTTGAACTGCTGACCTTTTGGTTACCGCCTGAGCTCTTAGCCAATGCTATCAGAGCTCCAATTAGCACAATATTGTAGCTAAAACATCAGAAAATTTGACAAAATCAGTGACTATAAGCACACAAGCAACCATGAAAACAACGGCGACGCGTACAGGGCCTACAGACAAAGCAGGTGATTCCAAGCATAGTCATTGGGTAATAACGGCAGCTCTTACCAGAAGATTAGAAGGTTCATAAACTAAATTAGCATAGAGTTTTGGCCTTGTCAGTATATTGATACGCGTAAGCTAGGCTTTGGAAAAATGTTTTTATTGTTACAACTAACTACCCGGATATTTTTATAAAAAATAATAAATTTCTGCTGAAACACTGTACAAAAATCTTATAGACAGTCATTTTGGTGTCACCCCTTCTGACAGTGTCACCCAGTGTGGTCTGCACCCTCTAGACCTCCCTAGTCACGGCCAGGCATTGGAAAGCTGTGGGGACTCGAGGCAGGCTCTGGCGCGGCTGGGAGAGGCCTAGGCTGCCCTCAAGGCTGATCCTCTCATCGCGCCCCACCTCAAGCGCCTCGAAGTGCTTTCTCCTCGGGGGGCGGGGGGTGGGTATCTACCGCAAGCGAGCAGGCGACAGCAGTTTCCTAGGGCGCGGGGCAGAGCCCGACTCGAAGCGTCAACAACTCGCCGACTCGCCTGTCTCTCGACACCCCAGAGCGTAGATTCCACCCAACTAAGCCGTGGGCGGCGGTCACCTCAAGCGCCTGGCCTCGCCCCTCCCTGCCCCGTCCCACCCCAGCGCGGCTTGCCACCGCCCGCCGCGCACGCGCTCTGCCGCACCGCCCCCCTCGGCCCCGCCCCCACTGCTGCGCGCGGCCATCGGATTCCGCCACGCCCGCCATGGCGTCGGCTCGAGCCGGCCACTGGTCCCGCCCCCGTGACGCGCCGCCGGTCACCTGACCCGGCTGCAGGCTGAGGAGACACAAGGGAAGTCGCTGTCGCCCGAGTGGGAGCCGCCGCCTGACGCCGCCGCGACCCTCAGCCTCGCTGCCGCCGCTGTACCGCGCCATGCCATCGGAGAAGACCTTCAAGCAGCGCCGTACCTTCGGTGGGTATCGCGGTGGGGGGCGCGCTGAGGGACTGCCGGGCCAAGCGGGGACCCCCGCCAGCGCCCCGATTCCGCTCGCGGCCCGGTGGACGCTGCCCGCCCGGCGTCCGGCCTTGGGTAGCGCTGTGGAGGGCGCTCGGGGCCGGGGGCTGCCGAGCGAAGGCTGCGCCCCTTCCTGCTGCGGACAGGCGTTCGGCCGTGCTGCCGGCGGGCTTCCCTTGGAGGACGGAGGAGCCACCGGAGCGCTCGCCCCTGGCCTTCTGTTATGTAAACGGCCGTGGGCCGGCCGCTCCGAGCTTGGACGGACTCCGTCGAGGGTCTGGGTCCGAAACGGCCCCATCCCACGGAGGAAGAGCCGCGCCTCGAGCTCGGCCTGCCCTGCGGAGGCCCGCGGGCCGGTGCTGAGTCGCCTTTGCCCCGCACGGGTGGGGGTCCTCTGGTTGTACACACGCCCTCGTCTGTCCTGTGGTCGGTTACCGTCGCCACCAGTGCAGACTTGTTTGAGAAGTGCCCTGCTTCTCGGAGCCACAGACGCGAGCGCGGGGTTCGGACCCTGCACGCCAAGCTTATGACAGGTCTGTTTTGAAGAGGGGGTGGGGTGTACTCAGGCGGCAAGTGAATCACCGTCAGGTTCAGTTTTACTAATTTAAAAAAAAAACTATTACTGATCACACGTGATCACTTGCAAAATCAATACCTTATTTGAGAGAAGGAGAAAAAACTGGCGAACTCCCTGAAACTGCACTGTTTTGCATATAGCTGCCCCTTCTAGTGCAGACCGGATATTGCCCGGGGACATTTGATGTTCGGTGTTCAGAATTCTTACTTGCAGCACAGGGGAAAGTCTGGGTGTCTTTCACATTGGTTTACAATTATATGATTACTTTCACCCCAGTAATAAATCAGTTTTCTTGCCTTTTAGATGAGAAATTGAACTTATGCTTACAGGCATTTGGTCGAAAATGAAAGTAAGACCATCATCATCATATTTACTCCTCCAGCACACAAATGAGAACGACGTGAGAAAATTTATTGAGAAAATTTCAGAATAACAATTGCAGCAGTCTTTGGATATCTGTTTTGTAGTACCTATTTGTAACAGTTCTAGGAGTTACCGGTATAGAAAGGGAGTACTTTAGTGTTCATTCAGTACACAGAAAACTTTCTGTGGTAATCTTTAGGAGCTTAAACAGCGATACCATTTGTTTACTTCTATCAAGTTCGTTGGAGTCTAGAAAGAACTTGGCATTCATTTGAGCTTGGATATTGTTGACAATTATTTGATATCTTGTGCCTGAGAAGTCTCACTAATTGAAAAGTTACTTTGGCCTGCCAGGCTTATCTTTTTAAGCAGCCTCTTGAGGCAGTTTGTTGGTTAGTGAGGCTTAAATGTGCCTTTTCTTGTTAGAAATTTTCTCTTTAGTGACCTTAATGAACTCTTAATATTGTTTAGATTTTATGGAGTCCTCGGAGAGCAGCATTTGAAGTAAATTTGCTGTCATTTCTGGCTTCTGTTACCTCCTCTGCTTGCTTTTCTGCCACCAGGGCTATTTGGTTGTGACTTAGGATTGCCAATTTTATAGCAGAAAAATCAGCAGATGAGTCTTTTAGGTAGGTTCCCAAATATCAGCATGCTCTCATATCTACGATCTTCCTGTCAGCAGCCTCAGTCACAGGAGAAATCCATCCAGGATGGTAGCCAAAATATTACCATTACAACTAATGGCATCAGAAGCTGCCGTAGTAGTTGCTGCTTAGACCTCATTTAGAGTGGGACACTGAATCTGTGACAAGTC